GAGGAAAACTGAGTGTTTGTACGATTGTGGAGGGGATTGGGGGTATGGAAGTAAAGAAATGTTGCCAGTTAGGAGTCGCGTCTGCTCGTTCATTTGTGGAACCTCCCTAATCCTCACCACGCTCTAGGAAGCAGAAGAACGTGGACGGCTTGAAAGAAGCAATTTTGTAAAAATGGCTCGTGCTCTCCGATACTCATCGAGCAAAACACACTCTCTCTCTTTCTAAAAAAAAAAAAAAAAAGGTAGCATTTTAGACCTTTTTGTCCCCTATAATGCACCCCAAAACTTCAGTTCGACGTATACAGCGAACTAGAGTCGAACAGACGGCCCCTCATTTTACGAGGCGCTTGCTAACGGTGCGATATAACTTATTACAAAGCTGAAGTACGTATCAAAGACCACATAAAAAAAAAACACAGATTTTGCAGTGATGTCGAGAAAACCCCGATTTTTTCTTCTGTAGTCAGTAACATGAACATGACCTATTTTGATAAGTTGTACCACACGACTATCAAGCCTCTCGTGAAAGTTGGCACCCTCAGTTCGAAGTCAGTGCTCTGTACGTCGAACTGAAGTTTTGGGGTGTCTTATATGGGACGAAGGGTATAAGAATACACTTTTTTTTTCTGAGAGTACTTTTCTTTGGAGAAACCCTCGCTGCCGAGATTCCTTCTGCAGTTCCGTAGCGGTGTCTGGCCCCATCCGAGATCCACCGCGAGGCCAACCACTCGGTGCCAAGAACGTTGAGAAATACTCGAAGAATAACGTCAGGTGTGCCACGGCATCCGATCTCCCGATTAGTGACTTCTTCCAACAAACAACAACAAAGCAAAAAGTTTAAAAAAAGCCTCCGATTCTGAACTTGCCAAGCGTTCCTTCGATGGAGAGTGGATGGCGTATGCGAGAATGCAAGCGCCGAGGAGGTCCAACGCGAGTCTTCATGATGGCGATGACGGCGAACCGATTGTCAACTTTCTGAACGAACAACACGAAGCCCGACCTTCTGAACGGAAGACAGAAGTACCACCGGATGCAGCTCGAACAAACTTTGTCAGTACAGCCTGTCAGTCAGTAACACTGTGGATAGTGTTATCCTGCGGCCAACTATGGCGGTAATTCAAGGATCCTTCGAATCCGACTGGTACACCAGCTTCCCGTGGTTGGAGTAGAGTGCGCCTTCGAACTCTGCATTTTGTTGCCCCTGTCAGATGTTTTCTAGTAGTAACGAACGGAGCAGTGGAAGGGCCGCGTTTTGACAGAGGGCTATCGAAACTGAAGAAGACTCTTTCAGCTGGCATCCCGTCCTGTCGCACAAATCATTTTTATGGGTTTTTCCTTCGCAACACTTCATCAATGTGGAATCACCTTTCGCTAGCCATCGCCGAAATTCCCGATAGGGAACATTTTCAAACTGCCGTTACTAACCTCTTTTTTTTCCTTTTTTTTTTTTTGTGGGGAGATTAGTTATTTTGAATTGTTTCTTAAATTTGCTTTGCTGTCTTTTTTTTTTTTTTTTAATGTGTTCTACTTATGCAATTTACTTTCCTCTCTAATGCCTCTGACCCTGAGGGCAACAATATAAATAACAAAATAAAGGTTACTTTCGAGGAAAAACTCGTTGGCCATTATCAAAAACCAGCGAATAAGTCGCGAAAATTTAAGACGGGTGCAGCGTATTAACGCGTTCTGGGCAAAATAAAAACGAGCGTTCCAACTCTAAGCGCTCATTCACACTGGAAGCGGGTCCGCGTTCGCAAAGCGGTTGCGAACGTGGTTGTATAAAGATCCAGTACGATTGCACGCGCACTCGATGACATCAAGTGCGCGTGCAATTGTAGTGGATCTTTATAGACGCTTTCAGGCAGCTGCGCATGGGCGCCGCCATAACTGACCTTCAGTTTTTGTTCCCTCTTATTCCGTTCGCTTCACTTCATCATTACCACAGCAGGAGGGGTTATTGCCATTTCAAGTGCTACAGTGTCCTTCTTCCCAGCATGGGCCGTCGTGGAGACTCGTCAGCGGCCGCTTCAGTGGCTCGGCATCTCGGTAAGATAAGAGAAAGGCAGCTATGGCGGCTCAATCTGGCGCGCGCTGAAAGCGTCTATACAACCGCGTTCGCAACCGCTTTGCGAACGCGGATCCGCTTCCAGTGTGAATGAGTGGTAAGAAACAGGGGGGCCGCCGCGCATAGCCGTTTTCACCAAAGATATCGGAGGCCGCAACAACACTATCCACAGTGAAAGCCAAATCAAACTATCGAAAAAAAAACAAAAACTATCCATATCGATAGTTGACTATCGCGAAACTATGATAGCCAACTGTCGTAATGCCTACGATAGTGGACTTAGTAGGTGTCGAACACCGTCGAGAGTTCATCCGGGTAAAGCTCGGGGAAAAAAAAACGCAACTGCCATTAGGGATTTCCGGACAACTATCGCAATCTCAAACCAATTGGAAAAGAATTGGAAAACTGTAGAAATCTACCCGACAAACTATCGAAAAATTATCCATCGTATACTATCGAAAAACTATCGATTGCGTAATATCGAATTAATAAAAACATCGATAGTGAAATATCAATATTTTGTCTCAATTGCTCGTCCAAGTTGTTCTCCTGTTTTAAATTCCTTTCCGCGAGTTTTCGCTTTACCAGTCGCAGAAATCCAAAACCCCGCTCGAATATGACGATAGCGATGGGGATCGAACACGAAATTAGGGGGACTTGACTTTACACGGATGAGAAGGTAAGTGTGGCGTTTTTTTTGTTTTTTTTTTCGCCAAACAGGTTGCGAAAAAGAAAGGAAACAATATAGACCTCTTTCGCCCTTCAAATAATCCCCACGTGACTTTTGCAAGGGGTCTATTGCCTTTCGGATTCACGAGCTTTTTTTCTCCGACATAATGCTTCACTGCCAACAATATCCACACTTGGAACGAGGGAAACTTTAATTATCATGTTTTATTTTTGATCCAGTTATTAAACCTATAGTGTATTAGAAGAATGTAAAAAAAAAATGTAAGCATCAGTAACTATAACCATGCTGGCTGCTTACAAGCTTTTCATACGATAATGCTCCATTTGAAGCTTCCACAACAAAACGCCAGTTATATTTATTGACGCAAAAATATTCCTTAATTGATTATGTGACGTCTCTTGTATTTTGAAGTTGTATGTTATACCAACGAGTACATCATTTCCCGGCCACCGTCATTAAAATCTGCCTACCTGTGGCAATACGCATACGACGGTAAACGAGTCGAACTTCTTTTGATAACGACTAATTCCCGATTTTCTGGGAATTCGCTATGAATGGTCATCGGCAGAAAAATGATCTCCAAAATAGTGCCCATTTTCAACTGTCAGTCGCCGAAACTATGAAAGGTAATATGTGAAAGCTGAACAGTAAAAGAAACACAACCATGAAAGTAACCCGCGAAAAATACTCATACCAAATGTCTTCAGCAAATGTTTTCTCTGACTCCAAAACACACAAAACAAAATAAAAACCAAAGACACGCCGAAGACATTTCATATTTGTCACATCACTTTTAAAATTTCTCGTCAATGTCAGCGTTTTTTATATACTCTGCACTGCCATCCACCCTTCAACCTGGCTGAGCTGCAGAAATCTCTTACAATGGTATCCTTCTCGCACAGCTTCAAAGACGTTGATAGTAGCTTAGAAACGATAAAAATGCTAGAAACAGCCTCGCTGACTCGGGGTTAAATCCCGGCTTTGGTCGTCGCGATTTCTCGTCTTTTTAAGCAATTTCCGCTTAATAAGCAATAACGAACATGTTAATACTGTAAGAGATTTTGGCAGCTCAGCCAGGTTGAAGGGTGGATTGCACGCAGAGCATGTGTGTGTGATTTGTGGACTCTATACCAGGCTTGTCCGAAGTGACTCCAATTCCACTAAAAAAAAAAAAAAAAAAATGTGTAAGTACCGAATTGGTCGAAATTAGCGCTTACTAGAAAACTGAAGGAACACCGTTCCCATGATTCCTCGAGCGCGGGCCGGGGCGCTTGGAGATTTAGCGAGTGGTCTATTGAATTTAGTGTAAGATTCTACACCCAGCGCGCGTAGTCATGTGATTCGTTCACAGCACTCCGACTCGTAGAGTCTCCAGAGCAAAAACGGAAAGCGTTTAGCAGATGGTTTTCCCGACTTCGTCCCGCTTTTTGACGGGGGTCACCCGGGGTTGGGCCTTGGAATGCGTGCATGACGAAGCCACTGGGCGCAACAAACCACGGGGAAGCTGACGCAGACAAAGCAGGCCTGAAGCAGCAAAACAGGGACTTCGAACCGGATCAAGGAAGAAAGAGGCCGAGATGAGCCGACGAACGCGAAGGAGCAGGCGTGACAGGGACAGTCTCATCGGTCGGTCATGAGTGACATCTTTCTAACGACTCACGCCCACCCCTCTCTCCTCAAAGTCTCAGTCTTGCTCCGAAAAAAAAAAAAAAAAAATCATGTCCAAACCGAAAAGCGGAACGAAAAGCCCTCCTGCTTCACGTTTTTCGGCTGGAAAAGTGCACGCTTCCAGCCCTCCGTTTTCGGTCTGGAGACCCCCTTAAAGGCCGGAGCCCACTTTGCGCTTTCCCCTCTTGCCCCCCGCCTCCCTCTTTCCTATATTCTCTCCACTTTTTGCCTAGCCCCAACTTGGCTCCCCCCGCAGCTTAGGAGAGGAGAGCACCTAGAGAATTACCTCCCCTGGACGACCGCATTCGCCAGCGATCAAGGTCATTGCCATGGCCACTCTTGGCCAGCTGCCTTCAGCAGGTGATCGTCCTCATATTGCGTTTAATGCCGTCGTTCTACAACGCAACTAGACAGAACGTGCAGGTTCTGAGCGCGAACTAGAGAAATTTGGAATAACGCAGGGGGAGTTATCTCTTATTAGCGTACATGCAACGGAGGAGAGGTACATATCCCCCTGAGTCAACACTGGCTCCATTGAATGAATCAACTGCAGCGAACCGACAATGCCCTGCTCACCCTCCGTCTGTAGAGATTCAGGCGGTAGTGATGGTGGTGATGATCCTTCCGGCTTCTCATTGCCGGGCGATTAGTGGCATCCGCCGGCAATCAGGTAATCCACTCGTGGTCACCCACAGACTGGGTCTGCTCAGCGCGAACACCACACAAGCACCACGACGACACTGCAGCACGACAGAGAGACCGGGCGTTCTGGCACACACAGAAAGTTCTGCTCCCGAGAAGCAAACCAGAGAACTAAGCGGCCCAACGCAGCAGTCAGCTCTCGGCAAGCACTGCAGAGAAGTAAAAAAAAAACAGGCACGGAATAAGCCGAGCGAGGCAGAAGAAAGAAAATACTAATTTCAAAGAAATATCAAACAGAAACCAAGACAGGAACGTAACGAGCGTTGAGACTATAGCAGACGATGTAATCGATCAGTAATGAAGGCGACAGACGACCAATCTAGCCAACGACGAAGGCAACATAAGACAAACTACGCCAACGACGAAAGCGACAGACGGCAAATGTCGATAACGAAAAAGTTTATAGACGACAAACGTAGCCAACGTCGATGGCTACAGACGACCAACGTGACGAAAAAAGGATGTATCCGACACACCAGCAGGCGACAACAGTAGCAGACGATGTCCATACAAGGGGAACTCCGTAAGCACACGAGGTTCGTAGCAGTCAGAGTTTGAAATAGACTAACCTTTTAGTGGACAACCACAGAATGACGGCTGCACGTCACCATCTGCCTGCTCGAGGCCAAGAGCCTGATCCCGCCCCCCGAGCACATATCCTTGTAGCAAGATAAGTCTAGGCTAGACGTTGTCTGAAAACGGGCGATGTCCCAAGCACACGATGTACCGAGAAGTAATCCCCAAAGCTGGTAGCAGAAGACGCCCATGGAACGCGCAAAGTTGGCAAGATTTTCTAACGGGAAACAATCGCACACAAACCCTGTGGCAGGCGATGTTTTTAGCACTCGTTATGTATTAAAAGACAGTCCTTGGAACAGGCGATGCTTCTAGCAGTCGATGTCTTCGTCCACGAAGCCCGTAGCTGACGACACTCGTAGCAGGTCACGTTCCGAAACAATCGAGGAGACAGCAGTCTCCGTCCAAATCCTACCAGACCATGTCAGAAACAGACGACACTTCCAGCAGACAACGTCCTCGCAAGCGAAGCCCGGTAGACGGCGCTCCTAACAAATCAGCCCCCCCCCCTCCCCCTCCCCCAGAAAAATACAGATATATATGTATATTTTAGCAGACGGCAAGCACCGCAGGTCAAGTCCGTACCAGACGGTGCCCCGAGCAGACGACGCTTCTAGCGGGCAGACAATCGTAGCAGACGACGATCGCAGCGGACGACTCGTTGCAGACGACAATTCAGCTGCGCTCGCGCGTTCCGAAACACCTCGAAATCAAACAAACATTCCAAGCCTGAATCTCGACGACACGCCACAAACAAAAAAAATACCGAGAGGCGCGAGTCGAAGACGCAGACTGCCACGGTACGAGTTTCTCGACGCCTCACGCAAACTCTCGAGCTCCCGGCAGGACTGGCCGCAAGAGGGCTGAACTGGGAACGGGACGACACCCGAATTAGAGGCCCCATTAGTCACGAGAGCAGGGACGCCACCGCCGCCGTCGCAAAAACTCGAGTGTCGCGCAAGATCCCCTTTCCCCCCTGCTACAAGAAAAAAAGAAAACGGAAGACAAAAACAGAAAAACAAGATGGCGAGTAAGCGGTTGCGGACCGGATTAAACCACCGCGGTCGCGCAAGAACCTCTTGTATTTCTGCCAAGTGCACGACATTGAAGGAGCACCGTTTTAGAGACGCTCCATCAAAGATAGCCCCGCGTTTCCAAGCGGTAGTGACTATTTCGACGTGCACGTTCGAAATATTTCTTTAAATTATTACGTCAAAATATTTTCCAAGTCATTTTGACGTCCCTCGTTCAAATATTTGTTTCTCCTTATTTTGACATCTCCAACTTAGAACTTTGGAATTAACGGAGTTCGGACTGAAAAGTGATCGAGATTGGCGGTCAAACAAATGTCATCTTGCTTGCAGGCGGTGTCGCGGTTCAACGCGCATTTTCCAAAAATAAATGCGCGATAGACTGCAGTTTTCACGACCTTTTAAGCGATGTGGAATGAAAATACTTCTCAGCTATCAGGCCGTACGCAACACGGTTGTGCCCAACATTACAAAAGGCGGCACCGTCGATTTTCAATTTTTTTTTTTTTATTTCACGAGTTTTCTATACACACAGGAGCTGACTGTCGTGTCATAAAATTGGCAGTCGATATCAAAATGCGTGTATCTCGTACAACCGACACCCCCATCAGAAACTATACAAAACGAAACAACGAAACGGCTGCATTGACGGGGGACGTCGAAATAATACAGTCACTATTTTGACATTTTATGGAAGTGACGTCACGGACGTCGGAATACTTTTTTTTTTAACATTTTGACGGTGGACGCGAATACGACTTAGCGAAGCGACTCGAAGCGACAGTTGGTCGATTGTCTTATCGCGTGTCCGGCGGCGGTAAATTGACTTTTTAAGAGGACCAGACTAGCCCACGGGAGGGGAGTCAACAGAGCGTGACACAGTAAGCGCGATGAGCGACTCGCAATCCTGCGTTTGCCAATCCCAGGGGTGGGCACTGCGAATGCGCAGTAATGTATGCATACATTACTTTAGAGTGGAGGTGACGGCGGAGTTGCCGTACCCCTCTAGGGCGATTTGAAACGCGGCGCACGACGTTCCGAAAGTACAGTGGTAAAGGGAGTTTGCTGCGCACTGCTCGTCAATTAACGTTCCGAGGATTCGGACGGAAGCGAGCGATGGGCGTCCGATGAATAGGCGAACGCTGTCGTTCTCGCCTTCCTTGGAAGTTGCTACACGGCTGCCGCCGTGCACGACGACGAGCTCGGTTTTGTCCGCCGCTGTAGTCAGTCCCACTTCGGTCAAGTAGGCACGTATGGTTTCCAGCGCAGCTTGAAGCGCATCCTCTTTTTCGCCTAGAGAACTCACTGGGGGTCTACACAGAGATATCGTCTGCGAGTGTTCGAGGTTCGGAATCTTAGCAGGTCTGGGGCCCTAATCTGGACACTTGGCGAGAAAGCCGGCGAGAAATCCGGCGGCTATGATTGGCCGGCGCCAAGGTCAAGTGCGGCGTTGGCCAATCACGGCAGCCAGATTTCTCGCCGACTTTCTCGCCAAGTGCCCAGATTAAGGCCCCTGGTTGGCAACCGGGACATAGCTACATTACACAGCGGGGAGGATATCACGGGTCCTCGAGGGACCCCGACCCTGTTACACCGGAGCTGTTAAGGGCTATAGTTTCACCAGGATCGTGTCCACCAGCAAAAGAATGATGACACCGAACTCTAGATAGCTACCGCCATTTATGAGCGACGGTGGCAACCAGACAACAGGCTGGTTGCCGCCATCACTCATAGATGGCGGTAGCTGCCCAAAGTTCGGTATCATCATCTATGAGCGACGGCAACGTGCGCAGCAGCGCGAATGGTTCCGCAACAGCGGCGAGGCCGCTATCGCCTAAAGTTCCACTGCGTCGAGCGCTTCGGATTCCCTTGCGAAAGAACAGCAGATCGCTCGCCTGGAAAGCCACCGCCGAGAAGAGAAGCTACAACTCCGCTGCTCTTCCTTCTTCACCAGAGTGGCGAGGATAAAATTTTGTGGAGGTTCTTGCTGGTACCTTGCCCGGTCTGGATTTTGAAAGGTTCTGTTCTCCTGGAAGGCAGCGATGAAGTCGTACATCTTTTCTTTTTAGACAGAGATCGCGAGCTTTGGCTGGAACCGTGTCGAAAGGAACGCAGTCAAAGGCCCTCCGGACATCAACCACCACCACGATCTTAGGATGTGCAGGGAATCGGCGTCCCTGAAGTTTTGTTCGAGGCGAAAGAATGAGTCCCGAGTTGAGAGGCCGGGACGGAAGCCATGTTAAGTAGGGGAGAGGAGTCGTTTGGTCTTCGATGAGCCAGATATTAGGCGAGCTTCAGGGGTGAGTGTGGCAATGGCCATTGACGGCGATGGCGGTGGGATGGAGGGGGGAGCGTTTTTTCGCCACCTAGAGACAGCGGCGTAGACTTTCCATTTTCCCGGGGGGGGGGGGGGGGGGGGGGGGTGCTGCACGTTCTCTTCTCACCAGAACTGGAGATTGAAGCTAACGAAAGCACGCTGGGATTCAATTTCCCATGTATTTTGTCATTAAAGGCAACGTGGGCGTTATTTTGTTTACATGCCGCTACTAGAAGCTCGTTGCATGGCACGTAAACAGCATCTCGGTAAGGATCATGGATATTTAATACCTTAGTGTAGTATTCAACGCAACAATCTCGAAAAAAGTCACAGTAATGAAATTTGTTACATAGGCTATCATAGTTTCCTTCCGAAATTTTACAGCCATACAGTTATTACATAATCACCAAATTTTTGCGTACTTTTTCCCTTGTTTATATATATATATATATATATATATATATATATATATATATATATATATATATATATATATATATATATATATATATATATATATATATATATATATACCCGCCGACGACTGCACATAAAAACATCCCTGGAGGTATGTGTTCCCCGTAGTACTAGGGTGCACTGCGGCAAAGCAAGGCACACAAAATGGCGATGCCTACTTGGCGGTCGTGGCTTCACTGCAGAACACGGTTGCGCGACGAGAAGCACTCGATGAAAAAACTTACAAGTGCCGTCACTGTTCGACGCGGAAATAAAACCGAATAGTATCGTACGCTATACAAGCTTACAAATAATCGAGAGTTCTAAAAAATACGCACAAGCCTACCGTAACGATCCGGCCATGCAGCGGGGCGCTATCACATTTTCAGTGTTAATGAATTGAATTAGGATTTGACGCAAATTCCTGGCATTTTGATGAAATGTAGCTGGACGTAGCAGGGTAAACACTTTAGCGCACTTACCCTGCTACGTCGCAGCAATCAAGTTACCGCGAAAAACATTCTCGGTCAAATGCGCAGACGTATACGTATACGTATGAGTGCGTGCGTGCGTGCGTGCGTGTGTCAACGCGCGTGCGTACGTGTGCGTGTGTGTGTGGGCGTGTGATACGCAAAAATAGAAGGAACGAAAGAAGAATGTTCTTTCTTTCGCGGAACGTGCGCATGACTCCATAGACCATTTAAGCGCATTTCATACTTGTTTGGCAGACAGAGTATATAGGACAAGCATGGCCAACGTCGGAGCAGACGACGGCAGATGTTTCCCCGCAAAAGCAGGCAGAGGCGCCCGTGTTTCCGGAGCAACCACAGGCTAATAAAATGGATTCTCCGCTTCTCTCTCCTCCCTCGAGTGGCCGGACCCTAAGTAGATCTCGAGCTCGGAGCCGTCAAATTTGCCTCGAGAGTAAGTCTGGCGCGGGACACGATATGCTACTTAATTAGCGGACGAAAACACATCATCACGTACGACATATGGGATCTCGCCACGAGGTTTACGATGGTCGGGGAAATTTAATTATCGCTGACCCAAATACACGTACGCGGAGCGACAGTTCCCACAAGAAGACCACCGCCGCGTTTATTATTATCTTTTTTATTTCGAAACGGAAATGTTGTCATCAAAATCTTGGACACAATGTGCGTTTCAGTAAATTGTGAAGTAAACCAGATCGCGCAAACAACGCGACACACGGCGAACGCGAAACCTTGTATCAAAATTACGGCTACTTTCTTTTTCCAAGATGTAAAATTAATTTTCAATACAGGAAAATATATATATATATATATATATATATATATATATATATATATATATATATACTCATGTTTGCAAACAAACCGTAGCGCCCCTAGCGGCCCGCCACCGGCGCGGCACCATGCACGATGGAGTGTGGGCAGACATTAACACGTTAACCCCAAAAACTAACTAAATACCGTTGCTCGTTAGCGATTCCTAAAAGGAACTCGTCACTTAACCTCAAAAGTAACGAATTACTTTTCTCGTTACTTTGATGACAAAATGCACAACTGCTTCTGTTTCGTGGCTTACTGTTTTTTTTTTTTTTTTTTTTTTTTTTTTAGTAGTCGTTGCACCTGAGGCAGTAGCTGCCTCTCCAAGTTTTCATTAGTTATGTTTCCCCACTTCCTTGAGAATGCATCTCCGGCGACGTTGAAGAGTCGGCCTACTGACGCGCTCGAAGGAACGGCAGTGGTGGGCTTCAGGGATTCCCGTCTCTGTTATGTTCTCTCTGTTTCTAAAGTCTGAGGTTGACAACGGGTTCTGTGCCTTCCGGCGTTGGCAACCTCCGGGTTTACTTTCGGTCTGTACACGATTCTAAAAGGTTCAATCAACGAACCTATTCGCCGAGTGAAGGACATTCCCAGCTGTAGAGTTCCAACGACGTATTCAGCGATAAACGTTGCTACACTGTCATACCGTCTAGTTGTTTTTCGGGTTACCCATCCGGCTTTGTCGCAACAGACGCATACTCAGCCTACAATTAATACGAGGCTGTTTAAGCGTCCTTGTACACGTTACTCCTTAAAAGTAACGAAATACCGTTACTTATTACTTGGTATTAAAAGT